CTCGCCTTCAGCGGCCACGAACCCGCCTTCTAATTGCCAAGTTCTTGCCAGTTCCTAATTTTTCTTTCCAACTGTCCAATGTCTCGGCCATCCATAAGCGGGGGAGTGAAACCGATGGTCTTCAGGAACGCTGCGAGAGACTTGCCACAATGGAGATGGATGCCGACCCAGAGGAGCGTGTCTGGGAAACACCTCCAAAACCAGCGAGAACTCAGAGAGGTGCAAGGTGTAGCATAGTTAGCATATCCCGTCGTCATCGTGGCATCTGAGTCTTCATCTGCCTTCACTCGAGGTGGGCAATTTCACCCTGCAACTTGAAGGCGCCCTGCCCGCGCTCCCGGTAGTACGCGGTCGACTATTCTACGCGAGGGCCGACCATGCATCACGTGTTGACCCCTCGAAAAGGTCAGACCCGGGTCAGACCCCAAGTCAGACCCCGGGGTCAAGCCGAGAGGGTCAAGGGGTCGAGTCTTGACCCGCACACCTCTGGTTCGGACCCGCATCCTCCGATGCACGCGGTGCGCCCGAGACACGTCACTAGTGCCTCATATATCATACGTGTAGCATAGCTCGGGCCCTTACATGAGGTTACTGTCAGACTCTATTTATTTCTATCAATTCGCTGATATGTCCATTCTCGCCCAAATTCTACGAATTCTGGATTCAGGCTCTGAGACGAAAGGTAGCGTCGAACCTATTTAGTGTATATCATAGCGATATAATGTGGCTCGAACGTGCCTACTTACTGACAAACTGTCCTGCCAAAAGGCAGGATAAACAAGAGTTTGTACTCTCGCTCACCTGCGGTTATATGTGCTCGGTCGACTACATTTGATGTTTGAACCCCAGTGGAACCACCTCTCGCTAAATGACTGAGCATGATTTACACTTTATCGGTGCCTGTACAGTGTATACCTCGACGTAGGATATAATATAATGTGCTCTGCTATCTTAAACGGCGTCGCGTTCGGGCCCTGGCAAGCGACCTGCAACGATGTCTTTCTCGATCGCGAGGAAACTCCACTTGGCGCTCAAGCGCGGGCCGCTGGTTGAACTTACACCGCGTTCTAGGTGTGCCTTCGATGCTTGGGGCAGCTGCAGCACAGATCGTCATCGATTCTATAGCACATCGCCTATACTCAAACCCTCACATTGACAAGAACTATCCTAACCATGAGCGCACCTCCAACTTCCACGCCAGGGACAAGTACGCTGTCTTCGGGGCCTCATGCTGAATCCTCTGAGCGTGGCCGAGGACGAGGACGCGGTCGCGGTCGCGGCCACGGACGCGGTGGACGAGGCAGAGGACGAGACAGAGGTCGTGGACCCTCTTCGACAGCAGGAACCGCTTCTGACACTCAGCCTGGAGAGACCCCAGGTTCTTCCAAGAGACCGCCGAAAGGGCGAGTGCCGAAACCGCCCCTCACACATTGTACGTCACCCACCCATCGGCTTTTCTACACACCACTGAATGATCGTCTACTTAGTCTTATCCATTCCAATTGTCGGCATGGTTCCTATGCTGGATGTTTGGGTCCGACTGACACATAGACTTCAGGGACACATACCCGAACTGCGAGATACCATCTCCAGGTTCACCGATACCCTCTTAGCAGCGACACCTGCCATACCCGGCCTAGATTCGACCATAGTCATACCACCTCGTCGTCTGCATTTCACGCTTGGCGTAATGTCGCTCGACCTCGAGCAGCCTTCGGAGAACTCGGAGGAACGTGAGTCAGGGCACGTTGGGGCTTCGGCCTGGAAAATCTCGAATACACTCGAAGCGGCCAGAGGTTTGCTGCGAGAGGTGAAGCCGAAGATCATAGAGATTCTTGGTGAGGAAAAACTGCGTGTTTCGTTGGATAGCATGTGTATCATGCCGCCCGAACGTGGGGATCAAGAACGAGCCCACGTCATGTGGATCGGACCAGCCGACGGAGACGGCGTGAAGAAATTCAAGCAAGTAGCGCGTATGCATTATGTTGCGGTACTGGCAGCGTTGATGGTACACTGAAGTCGACGTTGGTAGACTTGGTCGTGAAATCGTTCAAGCAGGCAGGCCTCTTAGTTGCTGAAGACCGGCCGCTGAAGGTTAGAGCATGGTCGTAATTGAAAGAGATCCGGTGCCTGATGAACGACTATGCAACAGCTTCACTGCACAGTTTTGAACACCATTTATCGAAAACCAAGAACGAAGGCCCGTGTACCGTTTTCGTATCCGTCCGTGCTTGCATCCGAAGCTGCGAAGACCATCTGTGTGCAAAAGGGCGTTGTCGACGCTGGGCAGACTGGAAAACCCAAGGAAGGACCAGTCCATGTAAATTTCGGAGAATGGGATCTCAATGAGATACAAATATGTGAGATGGGTAGTTGGGGTCCGGAGGGAGAGTATGTCGCGGTAGCGCGGCAGTCGCTCATTTCATGACGACAGCAAGGATGTACATATATACGTGCGGAACTTAGGGATACTCCCATAGGCGGATATAAGTCGTCTTCGACTGGTACTCTTGGACAGTCTGCGCCGCCAAGGTCGGGTCTCTGAGGCCTCCGAGCCGACGTACGCGTTCCAGCGAGGGTACTCCGTTTCTGGGAGGAGACGCCCTCGGGCCTGTTCCCACCCACGACCTTCAGTGACTGAGCCGTGCTCCGAATCCTATTGCCGTCATCGCCGCTACTGCTTTCCAGGTGTCTACTCTTGGTTTCCAGCTGAAATAGCGCACTCTCGACTGCCATTGCAGAGGGTTCGACTGTGGTCAAACTGCGACACCTCTTGCGGCGACTACGTAGGACTCCATCCCCAATCCACCCAACACCGTCTCCGCTGTATCCTGCTCATTCACACCCTGTACTATCACCTGGGCTGCAGAGGTCAGTGAATATCTTCCCAACGTACGGCCGATTCACTCAGCTGTCGCGTCTCCAGAACCCCTCTAATAGTCTGTTATGCCTTTCAACGTCCCAAGCATCCGCATCGCCCAAGCGTCTCCATCCATCTCTCTCGAGAAGGGCTCCTACCGCTTGCGTGCACCGCCAACTCGCACAGGCTCTTCCCATACCCAAGTTGCGAGGTCAAAAGCAAACAGTGGGCCTGTGCACGAGCTCGTCCCAGCATCTTACGAGAAGCGTATGGCCTTGCTCGCAACACTGCTGGCGTTTGCGATGATTGGGAGCTTTGGAGCAGCATATTATCTATGGACCACAAGGTCAGTTTCATTCTCGCATACGCCTCTGCGGCACCGAAACGAATGCCGACACTCGAACCGTACAGTGTCAACTCTCATATCACTCGCCGCCATCCATAATCTCCTTGTACCCTTCCGTCCCGCTGTCTTCTCCGCCTGTTCTCTTGCTCTACTGTTGCATCGTTTGCCTGCATTTATCGTCATTCAATCATTGTATGTTGCTCTCGCTATTTATGCTCAATGCATGCAGCTCCTTGCTTCCACTGCGTACACATCGTTTGCCTGCTCTGCGGTGCAGGCTGAAGGAAACATGACTTCCACAGCGAAGGTAAAGAGACAAGCGTACAACCAGGCGGTGACAACATCTCGTACAAGGTCCCCCTAATCCTCAACAGCCATATCCGCATCCGCCTCGCCCTGTTGCTCCTCTGCCTGCTCGACACTGATATGGCCCGCTGGTCGCCAAACATTCCCCGCCGTCATTTTCCATAGTCGCACACGTCCATCGTTTCCAGCGGACGAGAGTATCGTCCTGAGCAATACCATAAGTCAGTCGCGACGCCCGACTGAAACCTCTCCACGAAGACACACCCAGTGATGTTCCACTCCACTCTCCCAACCGCGGACTTGTGGTCGTCAAAGTCTCCTACAATACTTGCCGACCACTTGCCCTCCGTCCCGTCCGCGTCGTCACCTTCCAGGTCTTCGCTCGGTGTTGGCGGTTTCACGCGCCATATCCGCACGTGGCCGTCGCGCGAAGCAGTAGCAACAAGATGGTACGAGCGTCCGCACGACGGTGCCCACGCGACAGAAGTAATTGCAAAGGCCTTCGAGGCTTCACTGTCGCCGCCCGACGTCGCCGCTGTCTTGGTCGTTTCTGCGTTGCTTGGGGAGGGGTTGAGGCTGAGCAGAGTTGACGGACGTCGTGATGGGAATACTTGGATAATCTACGAAGGCGATCGCGGTCAACGAGAGCACGAAGTACGAGGGGAGGAAGGTCAACGTACCTTGACAATGCCGTCAACACCGCAGGCAGCAGCGAGAATCTCGCCCCAATACTTGTCCTTACACCACGAGATGCTCCAGCCCCCGTCCGCCTATCACTATGTTAAAGCCCGAATAGATTAAGGTCGCGAGAAGCGCACCTCGCGCGTACCGAGACCTGGCCGTCCTGGGAGCTGAGTTTGTGAAGTTTGCTGTTGGAGCGCGTGCGCGACAAGAGACGCGGAGTTTCCGTCGAGTGTTGTCGACGATTGGGTGGGAGTGGCGACGGTCACGGTATGCGCGTTTGAACGGGAAGATGGAGTGGCGGTAGGGAGGGAGAGGACGTCGACTTCCTCTGTGAGCTGCCATGACGAGAGAGATGGTTGCTCGAGACAGTCGTATATGCGCAGGTAGTTATCAGAGGAGATGGTTGCCTGCATCGCGACTATCGCGTCAGTGGCGAGGAGGGAGCGCGAATGTGCATGCCAGCACGCACCAGCTTCAACCCAAAGTGCTGTGGCGCAAACTCAACCGATCGTACGGTGCCCTTAGCGTCGACGAGCATAGCGCGCTCGATCCATCTTGTGGAGCTGGAGGTACCCGCACTTGTGCCGTTGAGCTGCGTGCCATCGACGTCTGTCGCGGAGATCTGCTCCCAGACCTTGACAGTGCGGTCGAAGGACGCGGTCGCGAGGATGGTGCCGAATTCGGGATGCGCCCAGCTCACTTTTGAGACGACGGCATCATGTGCCTAGACATCGTGCACGAGAGCAATCAGCGGACAAGAGGATGCGGGCGTAGACCTTTGCGCACCTTCCAGTCGTGTTCAAGGGACCAAGATCCGGTGGTCTCGTCTAACTGCCACACCTTTACTCTACACATACACGCGTCAAAAATGCGATGCAAAGCCCGTAGGCAGAAAAAGGGCAAGAGTTAATACGACCTTTGATCTAGGCTGCAAGTCGCGAGGCGGAGGCCATAGAAGTCGTAGGACGCGTCGGTGACCAGATCATTGTGCGCATTCGGGATGAGGCCGGTTTGAATCATGATTCGTGGTCGGTCCAACGGTTCAAGCTCTGGCAAACACGAGCGGAGATCAAGCAGAGAAGAAAACACCAAGCCCAGCTACGAGGACGTTGTCAGGATGCAGGAGCACTAGTGCAGACAAACCGCCGCAATGTGGAGATGCTCGAGTTACACTAAGTATGGGGCGGGAGGGTTGGAAGCGGTAGCAGTACATATACGCTTAAAACTAACAATCTGGATGAGGACCCTTAGCTCAATCGGTAGAGCTTTGTACTTATGAGGTTACCATATGATATGCAAGGGTCCCGAGTTCGATTCTCGGAGGGTCCACTTTTGCCATTCCGACCTCGCATATATACCACTGCAAAGCGTCTTTGTCGAATCCAGGTTCCTCAAATCTAGTCTAGATTCCATTCGAACTCTGACTCGCTCTCAGCAAGTCGCTGGCAAACCTGCTCGACCTTCTCGTCATCTACGTTCGCCACTGAAAACCGGATCCATCTATCTTCATCCATAATGGTCGCGTTTTCTTCTCTTTTGGGCCCGAAGAAACCTGCAGGAAGTGTGATAACGCCAAGTTCCTGCGCTAGCCGCTTGCAAACTTCGTTCGCATGTACGCCAGCGAAGGGATGGCGCACGAAAGCGTAGTACCCTCCTTGGGAGCCGATCTTCCATCGCAGGGGGAGGCGTTCGCGGAAGAGCTTGTGTCTGTGAGCAACCGCCTCTGCAGTCTCCCGGACGAACGAACGGAGAGAGGGTACGACGGTGGCGAGCGCGATCTGTGGCGGGCGCGGCGCACAGATCTGGATATTGTCGAGAACTTTGTTCAGGGAGGGGATGACGTTCGGGGACGCGCAGACGAGGCCGACACGGTGACCGGGTATACAGTACGACTTGGAGAAGGAAAAGAGATGGATGAACGTCGAGCGCCATTCCCAGTCTTGGGGTAGCTCCCCTTCAAGTGAAGTAGTGGGGCGAGAGAAGAGGCGATGTGGAACGCCGTTGAGGATAAAGTCGCGGTAGGTCTCATCCAAGACAAAAGCGATATTATATTTGTGAGCCAGCTTCGCAAAAGCCGCAATGAGACTGGGCGGGTAGACGGCACCAGTCTTGTCCACGGAGTCAGTTCACAACTAACCGTGAGTTTTGCATCAGACCTACGGGGTTATTTGGCGAGACTAGGACGACCGCCTTGGTCTTCGATGTAATGAGAGCCGCGCAGCGCTCGGGAGATGGCAGAAAGCCTTCTTTCGCGAAAGTGTGGAGGAGGACAGGTTTGATACCAAGCATAGTCATGGTCATCCTAATACATAGTGGAAGTCATAAACAGCGATGAAGGGGATGAGCTTCACCTACTCGTGATTGAAATACCTGCGTGTCACCGACGCAGCGTTAGTCACGCTGGATAGATTGTGAACACGTCGCATTACCATGGCACGGGGAGAATCACTTCGTCGCCTGAGTCCGCTAGAGTAGTCACAGCAGCGACGAACGCGAGGTTGCAGCCAGCCGTGATCGCGATGTCGTCCTGAGTGACATCGGCGTCGGGACCATAGCGAATATTGATCTCTTGTGCCATTACTGTCCTCAAGGAAGGTTCCCCGACGTTTGGAAGATACCCGCAGCTGCCTGGGGAGGATGCCGCAGCGCCGAGAGCCTCCAGGAAGGATTGAGGCGGAGGGACGCCCGGTACACCCTGTGACATGTCCAACAGCGGACGATCGTGTGTGGCCTGGTACGCATCTGCCCACTGGTATGCCTGCGGGATTCTAGATGCCAGAAAAGTTGTTGATGTCTGCCAATGAACGTGATGATGAACAAGCAAATGCTTACGGAGGTCTACCAGTAGCCAGAGTCGCGTTCGAGAGACGGTATCTCACCATGCCGCACACTTCGTTGGTGAACTGGTCAGCTTGCAATTTACGGCCGCGCCTTTCTGGTGCTGCAAAGGTACAGATGCGGGTGCCCGAGTTGGTAGCGATTGCACAACCCGACTGGCATAGCGCCAGCCCGGGCCCGATAACAGCATCGGCGGGCGTCTCACCATCGACTTGGGATCGTCTGCGGATCCGACGATAGCAGTGCTTACATGTTTCTTCATCCTCTTCTTATGGGCCCAGTGCTTGCTGGTTCGAATAATAGCGACATCTTCCTCTCCCGACTACCAAGAACTTTCTCTCCCTCGCGGGCCGTGCCATAACATCAAGCTCAAGATGTGTGAACGACTCCCTCAATGACAAACTATGGGGTAGACCGGTCGGTGCACACCGCGTGAGTTGGTAAGGATGGTCCAGTAAGAAGTATATTCATAGGCAACAAACACGACGCTACGTATCATAACTGCTTGCAGTTTGCGTCGTCCTTACGCAGACGCGCTAGGCGGAGGCACCTCCGGCAAGTTCGCACCAAGGTTATCAGGAATAGCGAGGGTTGGGTCTGTCTGGCTCTTCAGTCTTCCCCCAAAGAGCACCGGGCCGTTCGCTGCGCGGAACTCAGCGATGCGTTTCTCGACCTCCGGGCGGAAGTGACGCATGAGACCCTGGATGGGCCAAGCGGCTGCGTCACCGAGAGCGCAGATCGTACGGCCCTCAATCTGCTTGGTGAGCTCGAGGAGCATGTCGATCTCGCGCTGGTGACCGCGGCCCTCGACGAAGCGATCCATCATGTTCATCATCCAGGTGGTGCCCTCACGGCACGGCGTGCACTGGCCGCAAGATTCGTGCTTGTAGAACTAGTGTGATGACGGTCAGACGATTCGCCGATTGTATAGTGAAAAGAGGTAACATGCGTACGTGAGCGAAACGGGCAATGGCCTTGACAATGTCAGTGCTCTTGTCCATAACGATAACAGCCCCTGTACCGAGACCAGACTGGGCATCCTTCAAGGAGTCGTAGTCCATGCTGGCATGCAAAGGTGAGTGCAAGAACATTGCACGAGATGCACCAGAATGAAACGGGACGTACAGGACTTCCGCGCACTTGTCAATGGGGAGGACAGGAACGGAGCTACCGCCCGGGATGATACCAAGGAGGTTATCCCAACCGCCGCGGACACCACCACAGTGCTTCTCAATGAGGTCTTTGAGCAGGATACTCATCTCCTCCTCAACGACACAAGGGTTGTTGACGTGACCGGAGATACAGAACAGCTTCGTACCCTGGTTTCGCGCACGGCCAAATCCGGCAAACCAAGACGCTCCACGTCTGCAGATGGTGGGAGCCACCGCGACAGTCTCAACGTTTGCAACAGTCGTCGGACAACCGAATAGACCGACGTCGGCAGGGAATGGGGGCTTAAGACGGGGCTTGCCCTGCTTTCCCTCCAGCGACTCGATAAGCGCAGTCTCCTCACCGCAGATGTACGCTCCGGCTCCGCGGTGGAGGTATACGTCGAAGGAGTAGCCAGAACCGCAGGCGTTTTTGCCGAGATAGCCGGCCTTATAGGCCTCGTTGATCGCCTGCTGAACGTGAGACGCCTCCTGGTAGAACTCGCCACGGATATAGATGTAGGCAGCGCTGGCATTCATGGCGCGGCCGGCGACGAGACACCCCTCAACAAGCTTGTGAGGGTCGCCACGCATGATTTCGCGATCCTTGCAAGTACCAGGCTCACCCTCATCCGCGTTAACGACGAGGTAACGAGGTCTATGTGTGATAGGTCGGAACATGCAGGGAGTGAATGAAGGGATATGCTCACCGAGGATCCTTCTCCCATCCCGGCTTGTTCATGAAACTCCACTTCAAACCACTCGGGAAACCAGCGCCTCCGCGCCCACGCAGCCCAGAGTCTTTGATGGTCTGGATTATCCAAGAGTCGCCCTTGAGGAGGATGTCCTTCGTTTTGTGCCAGTCACCGCGGGACTGCAACACGCGCGCTTAGTCACGTCATCCGGGCAAGAGAAGGTATACCAACGCACCGTAGCACCCTTGAGACCATGGTCATGTCTGCAGTATGCGTTTGTGAAGATACGGTCTTGATCCTTCAAGCCGCCATAACGGCGAACAGGGGTATCCTGCACGGTCGCGAATGAGCGACGGGGTAGCTTGGCACGAAATGGTCGTGCTATACCTGCAGAAGGCACGTCACAGGTGAGTAGGGGCATGAGACCAGCACAAACGTGAGATGAGAGGGAAAACGCACGGGTCGCCTGCGCCGTATGTCTGAGCATCGTCGTGGACGTTGGTGAAGGGGCTTTGCTCACCGCTGACCGAAACCTGCCTTGCCAGTGGCTCGGGCAACTCCGGGCCTCTTGTTTGCATTTGCTTGCTCAACCCCTGATCTGGATGGTCCGCTCGCTCGCCGCTTGCACTCTGGTGCTCCGTCATGCAGTTATCTTGCAAGTGATGGTTAGGCACTACGGTTCGACACCCACACTGATATTGATGTCTCATCTCCCAATTTCCATCACATGAGGTATTGAATTGGCCTCATAGAAGCCTGCTAAGCCCTGACGGGAGCATTGATACTGTCTTCCCTCTACTACGAGGTGCGTTACCACCTCTCACAACAGCTCCGTCTCGCGCACGTAAGGTGTTGAGCTCATATCACGATATCTCCAACGTTCTGTCGTCCAGCGCGTGAGCGCCGGCTATGTCTTTCGATATTGTATCAACTCGTTCTACCACGGAATCTCCGACAATACGCGAATTTGACCGAACAATCAAGTACTTAGCCCTCCCATTCCCATCCTCCAGATCCAGTCATGGCTTCCGACGAAATACCTGATATTCTCAAAGTTCCACCCTGGCTCATCCAGCATCCTGAGCTTCAGCGTCGCGGCATACATTTAGCACAGACGTTACGTCCGGTGAGGAAACTCCCGCCATCGTCAGAACCGCTCTTTCCGAGCTGATCCAGTACGGTAGGGCACAGTATTTGCCACAGAGTGGGGCAAGTCTCCGCGGACAGTCGTCAAGATTGTGGACCCTTCTAAAGAGGAAGCAGACATCCTTGACAGCCTCCAGCGAGACATAGCATGCCCCGCTAGCCATGTCGTGCCTTGTGATGTGGTCCGTTCCGACAAGCTGTTGGCGATCATGCCATGTCTTTCTTCAATAGAGGAGTTGTTATTCACTTCGGAGAAGCTGAGCAACGTCCTCGATATGTTCGATCAGCTTCTAGAGGTCAGTGGCGAAGGAAGTACAATCATTGCAG